CCTGAGGCAAATAGAAAAACGAGCCCTGAAAACAACAAACATTACGATGTGAACCTGTGTAGCCGGAGGAAACACAAAAAAACTGAATTGGGATGGAAGGAGGGGTCTATTTATTTAAATGTGGTTGATGTGTTTCCTGTTGCAGGCAGGCGGAGCCTTATCTCATGGGCTGTCCTGGAAGATGACTGGGGAAATGAAAGATAAGAAGGGTAAGTTACTGGTGGGCATATGCTTAACTTATAGTGGTAACTGTGTAGTGATTCACCATCTTGTTCTCACCAACTTTCTCTTTCTTGTATCTTCTATTAAACAGTATAACTCTAGACGTGTGTCTGCAAAAAAATTGTTTTGTTTCACATTTGTCATTATTTCGTTTTTCAGGACTCCAGTCCGAAAGTAAATTCGGTTCGGCATTCAGATTTTGACGAAATCCGAACTTGTTAAACTTTAGATGTGCTGATACCGTGTTTCCCCGAAAGTAAGACCTACCCCAAAAATAAGACCTAGTTCGCTGGTAGGTCTTATATTACAGAGATCCGCTAGGTCTTACTTTCGGGGTAGCTGCACATATAATAGAATTTTACATGTGAAGACTGGCCGTAGCTCCCTCCCTCCCACGCACACGCACACCTGTCTGCCTCGGCTGCCGCTAAAGACTACATTTCCCAGCAGGCACAGCGTAGCCAGTGCGGTCGAAGTGGACGTCATCAGAGCGGAGAGCGGACTGCTGCAGCCAGGTAAATGAGACATCCCCCGAAAATAAGACCACACTTTTTTTTTTTTTTTACTATCCGCAGAAGAAAAAATAAACAAAATATTTTTTACAAAGTGTGTTTTTTTTTCCCTTTTGTCCAATGTCACTTTGCTGCAATGAAAATGTGTTCACACATACTATCGCTAACGAAAAACCTGATTTATTAATTTTTTTGCAAGTTGATGCTTAACACAATAAAATTTCAGTTGGGAATGAAATTCAGATGCATCCGAAATTTGTAAGTTGGAAATTTGGATTTGTTTATTTCTGTCATTTGGAAATGAGCTGAATGAACTCTTCCTGTACAGAAACTTCAAGCTCAAACTTCAAACTCAAGAGGACTCCTTCTCCCTCCTCAGGGAACATTGCACGCACAAGGTTAGAATCTGAAAGACTCCGTAGGGGATGCAGAGGCCAGCTGCAACCCCTGCATTCTGGGGTTTCCAGAAGGGCCACAATTTTTCCCATAACCTCAGACATGGTACCTGAGAAATCTTCCCTGCTTAAATATAAAGAGGAAAGTGAGCCAGGGGGAAGCAATGGAGGATTCAAAAGAGGCCAGTGATTCTGACCATTACAGGGTGTCCACAGAGCACCATTACCCTGCGCCTGTAATCCACCATTAGTGTAACGAGAGGGTCCCCAATGGGTACTCTCAACTAAATGTGAAACGAAAGCGATTAAAAGCAAGGCTGCACTACCTAGGAGACTTCTTTTCATAAATGGATTAGTTAGAAAAAAAATGTTTCCAATTAAAATTGATAACATAAAAAAAAAAAAAATAGGGAACAAACCACATATCTTCTGAAAATAGCTATATGCAGCGGTAAATATAGCCAGCTATATGGTTAGGGGACAAACTATTTAATAATTCTCGGATTAACAGAAAAAAAATACATATACATATATTGTGACAGGGTATATGTCTCAGTGTACATCAGCGAGAGCTTAAAAAGTGCAACTTTATCTGGCTAAAGGTGCCCTAACACCTTACAATTATCTGCAGATTTTCTGTGGTCAGATGGAAAAGGTGCAACAGATTCCTCCATCTACACTTAACTGTGTGGATGGAGTAATCTCCACCTGGGCCAATCTGTTGCACTTTTTCCATCTGACCACAGAAAATCTGCAGATAATTGTAAGGTGTATGGGCACCTTTAGACTGGGTTAGGCAGTTTCCCCAACAGGTACACCTCCTCTGTTATAGTAGCAGTCAGTGAGTGAGTGAGTGAGACCCAGGCTGCAGTGGATAGATGCAGACACAGACTGGAGAGCGCCAGAATACATGTGGGATAAGATCTGGCTAAAAATTGTATGTTAAAGACTGATTCTTTATGCATTGTTTTTGTACTGGAAGCTGGAATAGCCACTCCAGTACGAAGTAGTGAGGGAAACTACTGTCAGCCTCCTAACTTGGAGTAGGCCATTTTATTTGTGTTACTTTTAGGTTTCTGCTGGAAGCGGTTTTGTTTAAAATGGAAAGTGTACCCTATTGATGGAAAGAAACTTATGTTTGATCGCAATAAATCTGCATTTACTGCCAATTCCTGACTACAAACCAGTGACTTTTTTACAAGTGGTGTCAAAAGTGGAATCTATTGTTGGACTGACCCAATCTCTCACACTGGCCTTAAAAAGGTACAGGACCCAGCAAAATAGATGAAGTTGTGAAAGCCCTGGTACAAGCCGTTACTGTGCGGCAAGAGGCTAACAAATAGGCAGCGGCATCAGCTGCAGCTCTACCAGAGTGCAACAGGCTCCTGGCTTTGCAGATTGGAGCCCTGACTGAAGCACAAAGAACAGACCATGCTAAGAGATTCGGGACCGCATGATTGCCCAGGGACCTCCTAACCCACCAGCAGTTGCTCCACTGACGTGCCACCCTGCTCAGTGCTCACACAGGCCCCCCCACATTCTGCTGAGTGCACGTCATACTGGGCCCCGGCCAGTGTGCCCCCAGTTCCCCTGCATCTCACCTGTTAGCAAGCAGCTCTGCCGGGATCTCTAAAGCACACACTGACAGCGCTTCCAGCAGTGGTGTGGGCATGCCTGCCAGCAAAGAACACAAAGAAAACCACATGAGGAGCTGCAAGCACAACTAATCGACAAGGAACGTTGTTGACAATTATTTTCCTTATCGATTCTCATTGACTTGATCGATTAGTTGTTTCAGCCCTACCTCAGCCGCCATAGCTGCGGGCAGATCACACAATTCTGCAGGGTAAGGCATTGAAATGGCCACGTATGGCCTCTACAGTCAGAGTCAGCAATCAAAGCTGCCATTTGGCCCATGCAATCCTGCATATCTACAGTAAAATCATACAGGGTCAAAACAGAAAAGGGGCCTCAACTGGCACACCCAAAAAGCCTTCAAAGAATTTAGAGACAAGTTAGAGACAACTTTCCAGGCTGTCAATTTCAGTTCCTTTAGAAGGAAAACTGCAGTTATCCCTAAACATGCTGCAACCCAAGCAGGGACAACTTGGCTCATAAGCAAGGTAAAACCTTGGGTACACATGAACCAGCTGCTAGAAGATGATGCAAATGGCTAGAGGTGACCAGATCACTTTAGGCAACAGCAAAGACTAATGTGATAGAGCAGTGGGAGGAAGATACTACCTCACGGTAAATGGCAAATGGATGGCAGCTCAAAGTGTGCGCACACAACACTCCACTTCGTTATGTAACACTTAGTCCCCATTGGCGTTACAACTATTTCCTAAGAAAAAAATATAAATCTTAGGAAAAAGAAATGGCTAGTAAAAATAGTTAAACTTTTCTCAGCAGAGAAAAGATGTACATCCTCCTGGAACACTTGAAAAAATTGGGGCATGCTGGAAGTGGGAGGTGTTACGCCAGGCTGGTCACATTTGTTTGCCAATATCCAAATCCTCCTGCAGGTAGCAGTAAAGCCTAATGGTCCCCAAACTGTAAAACATTGAGAAACATGTATTGTCGCAGAACAAAATGTATTTCCCTATGTTTTCAATTCATGTATTTCAGGAATGTACTATGACAGTTTACTTTGCTGATGCTTTAGGCCTCATTCACATACAACGCAAGCAAAATTGTATATTGCGTATATACGTGTCTATGCGTGTATATACGAGCGTATATGCGCGCACTATATGCAATCCCAGAATGCATCACTCGTAATGGAATTTTAATGTGCTGTACGCATGTACGCAGAGATACGCTGCCCGGATGCATCTCTGTTCCATTCTGTTTTTGCGCATATATACGCTGCGCAAATATACGGCTCCATACGCGGCTGTATGTATGGAGCCATTTATTTGCATATGTTGCATATGGTACAATACGTACGTACATACGTACGTACGTGCGTGCGTGCGTGCGTATATGCGCGGCAGTGTGAATGAGGCCTTAGGGTTCATTTACACCACAGCATCGCGCTAAACACATGGTGGCCATGTGTTTAGCACCCAATATTGCAACTACCCTGGTGTACTGTGCACTGGTGTATTCCAATTCATTTGAATAGCAAACCAACGTAGCTACCAGTGGCCATGCATTGTAGCGCAGTATTTGGTATCACAATACTATGCATTGTGGTGAAAACAGTGCATGCAAATCACTTTATTGCAGTACCGCACATTGCACCGCAACATATGGCCTCTGGGAGGTACATTGGGCTGCCAGAGAGCAGTGTAGAGCATGGGACAGGTGGATGCACCATATACAAGGTCCCACTAGCACAGAGGTCCCTGCAATGGGAGGCCCCTGCAACTAGCATGACAGCCTGGAGAAGAATAACTAATGTTGCAATGCTCCTGTTTAGACAAGGGGAAACACAAATAAACTTAGGTGGGGCTACACTGATGACTTTTTATTTAATGTGGATGATATGTTTCATGTTGTAGGCAGGCAGAGCCATCTCCCACAGGCTGTCCAGGAAGATAACTTGGGGGGGGGGGGGGGGGGGGGGCGAGCCCCT